GAGCACCACTGGGCGTGCCAGCCCTGCACCACCACTCCTGGAGGTAGGGCTCGGGAGAGCAGCTGTTCTCTGCAAAGGCAGGAAATCGAGGAGGCTGAAAGGCTGATGAGGAAAGACTGATGTTGGAGTCTTTGGTATGACTGAAACTACAGGTGTTTTTGCAGTTTTAAACACTTTTCCTTTTTGACCTGGGAGATTGTATCCAACCTTGAGCAGAACTGAAACTCCTGCTTTGTTCTCCTCACACTCAGTGTTTAAGCATTTTCAGATTTTTGGAGACGTGCCTGTTTGCAAAAGTCCAGAAAGAAACGTTTTCTATCTGTAATGGATCATTTGGAAAGTGGGGGCACCCCAAGGCTCTGGCCAGAACGTCGGACAGGGAGGGGCCCATGAGGACACACAGGACCTCGGCCTAGTGACCAGAAGCCTCAGGACATTTTTGAGGTCTTGAGAATTAATTAATCCCAATATACATGTGTTCAGGGGGACCCTAATGGGGACGAGAATGTTTTTTCCTTCCCAGACTGAATTTTAATCTTTTTCAAATAATAAAAGCTATGCAGAGTCAGTCTTACATATCTGAAAACAGTAAAACATGGAAAAGGGAAGTGAATCACCAAGCGCCCTGTCCCAGCAATGCCGCCTCTACGCCTCAGTCTCTTCGTGAGCTGATACACAGAGGCTAAACTTTTGGGCCATATGCCATACGCAGCTTTGAACATTGCTTTTTATTTAGTACGTTTTTCACCTTTATATGTCATTGAATATGCGTACAAAGACTTTTTTTTTTAAGTGGAGACCACAAAGTTTTCTTTGTTTCTGTTTGGATTCTGGGCCTCACCCACTGGGACGGGGCTGCTCCTGGCTCTATGCTCAGATGACCCTGTGTTGTAGGGGTCGCAGTCAGGGCCTCTCCTGTGCTCCAGCCCAAATCACCCTCCCACCCCCTGTGCCACAAGGGGTGAGTTTAGTCTACCTTAAACCTTAACCCAGGGGGCTGGGGCCATAGCACAGCAGGTAGGGCCAGGGGTAACTCCTGAGTGCAGAGCCAGGAGTAACCCCTGAGCATCACCAGGTGTGACCCAAAAGGGAAAAAAAATCTTATTCCATAATCCCATTTTTGCACTTTTAAATATTTTTTGGCTTATGATATGGAAAGTTAGAAATCATTTCTTTGGTCTGGGGGCCACACCTGGCAGCTCTCAGGGCTGACTCTAGGCTCTGTGCTCAGGAATCATTCCTGGCAGGGCTCAGGGGATTGTATGGGGTACAGGGATTGAGCCCGGGTTAGCTGCATACAAGGCCAGCGCCCTCCCCGCAGGAGTGACCCTGAGCACCACTGTGGGCACAATGTGGCAATCACGGGAGAGCCCTGAAGGTGGAGGCAGCTGACCCCTGAAGTAACCGCCCCTCAGATGTCTGCAGTGATGTCTTGGTGACAGGTCTGTGCCACTCCAACTGCACGTGAACACCGACTGGAGCTGGCAGACCCCTGGCAGCAGTGGGCACAGCGCCACCTGCAGGCAGAGGCAGACACACACACACACACACACACACACACACACACACACACACACAACCTCTCTTCTGGGGTTCTGCCTGGGCTGAGCCCCCCTTGCACATGTGCAAGCATCAGGGAAGGGCAGGAATCCTATGGAAAACAGCTTCCCCCTACGCCAGATTCCCAACAAGAGGGGGCGAGGGCTGGAGGGCCCAGCACGGCCCCCTCCTCCATTCCAGATTCCCACAATGACCCTATTCAGGGGAGCAGCTAGAGCTGAGGCCGCAAACTGGAAGGAAGAACCAAGAGTAGGACCAGCAGAGGGCTGGGACTGCAGAGACGCACGGACCAGGGTGTGCGCTCTGCTTGCAGGAGCCCTGCCTCGGTGCCATCACGCGCGGCCCTGAGCGCAGAGGAACCCACCCCCAGCACCAAGCTGGGAATAGCCCTGAGCACTGTGGGGATGACCCAAAAACCAGAAAAAAATTAGAACTGAATGCAATTCTCTTTCTTTTTGGGCCAACCCCAGAGTGCTCAGCGGCTATTCCTGGCTCTGTGCTCAGGAGTGACCCCGGCATACTCCGGGGAACCGAATGTGGGGCTGAGGATCTGAACCGGGTTTGGCGGCCTGCGAGGCAAACCTCCTACCTCCCGTCCTATCTCCCATCTCCGGGTTCACGTAGAACCAAAACCAGGCTTGCCCTCGCGCCTGAGCTCACCCGGGGCTGCCTGGCTCCTTTCTTGCCTCTTCCCCACGCTGGTCTGTGCTCGCTGGAGGCCACTCCTGTCTGCTCTCAGCCTGCTCCAGTGGGACGCCACAAACCCACCCACGCCCCACCAGCAGAGACAAGGGCCAGCACAGGTGGAACCAACTCACAGGTGACCGGCGCTGCGTGGGGACCAGCCGGGGGGACGGGGACATCTGCTGGCCCTGGGGCCACCCGCTGACAGCCCCTTTCCAAGGACGCGCCCCCATTCTCCGGTAAAAACTGTTTTCTGTGACAGAGACCAGGTGACTTTGGGGACCCGAGTCCCCAGCTTCCCACAGGCGACCTGCTCCAACAAAGCCGCCCGACCCCAGGTGGTCCACTGCGGCCCCGATCCTGACCCCACTGGCCCCCACAGCTCTCTGCTGCAGCCCCGCCCCCTGACCCCGACTCCCCCAGCTCCCCACTGCAGCCTGACCCCTGACACCCCCCCAGCTCTCCACTGCAGCCCCGCCCCCTGACCCCTACAGCTCTCTGCTTGCAGCCCTGAGCCCTCACCGACCCCCAGAGCTCCCCACTGTGGCCTCACTGTCTGCGGGCTGCATCTCTGCCTCAGGGCTGGGCGTGCCCCGCTGGCATCCCCACCTGCTCCCGCCCCGGGGCCATGCCCTGGCCCACTGCCACCTGCCCTCCCCAGGGGCTGGTATGAGCACCCGAGAGCACCCAGTGGTCACTGGCCTCCCCCCAGAAGCCAAGGCCCCGCCCTCACACTCCTTTTGTTTTTCCCAGCTCTGACCTGGGGGTCACTGCCTGCCTGGGCCCCCCAAGCCGTCACCCCGGGGCACTCCAGGGCCCCAGGTGGCAGGAGTGGGGGCAAAGGGTCCTGGAAGGTGCCAGGCCTAATCCTCCCTCCAACACGCGTGGCCGGCCCCCAGGCAGCCAGACAGGGTTGGTGGAGGTGACCACGCACATCCCGAGAGGCAGTGCTGCCCTCTCCCCACGCCCTTGGGGCTGGCCACCTGCACAGGCCACGGAGCAGGGCCTCTCCCTGGGGCAGAAGATCCTGTCCACTGGGAGGGCTGTATGCCGGAGAGGGAAGGGAGTGAAGGCCAGGGCATGCCCACCGCCTGCTACAAGGACTCACAGGGGCCCTGCTGGGTAGCAGGCTGGCGAGCAGAGGACAGCAGTCCAGCCTGCAAGGAGGGGCCCAGGCAGCCGCAGGGGGCTGTGCCAGAGGCCAGCCATTGCAAAGGCCGAGGAGCGGAGCACAGCCGAGCTGCCCACACCCACCAGCACCCTCGCCACCTCCCTAGCCCCCGCCCGGCCACTGCCGCTGCCCAGAGGGCATGCCTGCTCAGAAGGCGGCGTCTTTGCGGCGAACTGTCCAAACAGTCAGTCAATGGGCACTGCCCAGACCGGCGCTGTGCCGACTCTGGCTGGTGGGTCTGTTCCCTTCAGCACACCCCTTACCGGCCAGGGGGAAGGACTGGGGCCCACCTCTGAGGCCCCGAGCAGGCCTGACACTAACACGGCCAACTCCAGAGGACCACCGTGTCCAAGCTGGGAAAGGTCATTCCCACGGACCCACGAGGTGCAGGTGTGGGGGCCCCAGGCAGGGGGCGCCACCTGCGGCCCCGGGAAAAGAGCCCGCAGTCCACCGACCGGGCCAGCGAGGGGCAGAGGCCGGGCACCCGGCCAGCCGGGGCAGCGGCGCGCACGCAGGGTGTCTCTGGCCGGCACGGCGGGCCCACGAGTCATCGAGGCAAGCCGGGAGCAGAGGACACGCCCCACTCCCGGGACAGTGCCCCTCGCCTGCACACACACGGCGGAGTGGACAGCGCCCACGTCGCTGGGGTCGGGAGGAGGGTCAGCGAGGGCGGAGTGCGGACCGTCCGCCGCACGGACACGGAACCGGGGGCACCTGGCCTGGAGGTGCGGGCAGGTGAGGCCGGGCAGCCGCAGGGCCCCCGAGGAGAACAAAGCCGGGCGCAGCTGCCCCAGAAACGGACCGCAGGGACCCGGTGGCCCAATTTCCCGTCCTCGGAAAGCCCCGCGCGCAGGCCCTGCCCGAGCCTGCCTCCGAGACCTGCGTGGCCACCACCTCTAGGGGTCACCCCGTCCATGCTCACGGGGGGCCGGGGCGCCGCCGACCACGGGCGCCGGGCGGGAGCGGGTGCGGCGCCCAGGGCAGGGCCACAGGTGGCCCCGCGGCCCGCGCGCCCAGTGGCCGGGCCGCGCGCGGCAACAGCTGGTTCCCACGCGGAGCGGAGCGGGGGGCCCGGCTGCCCGGCGGGACGCGGCGTCGGGGAGCGTCCAAGTTCCTGCCGAGCTCTGGAAACTTCTGCGGCAGCCCTCCCGCCGGCCCCGCGGTCCACTGCCCCGCTGCCCCGCTGCCACGCCGCCCCCGCCCCGCTGGCCAGCGCGAGGGTGGCCGCCGGGCGCAGCGTGCGGCTCCCGGGACCGAGTCCGCGCGCGCAGGTGGCGCGTCCCGGCGACGCGGCGGCGCAGGACGAGGTTCGCGGGCGCCGCCGCCAAACTTTCCGGGTTCGGTTCGGGGCCGCTCGGACCCGCGGCGGGACCGACGCGTCCGTCACGGGGAGACAAAGAGCGGCCGGGCCGGACCCCGCGCCCCGCGCCCCGCGCCCGCCCCCGCGCGCGCCTTGACGCAGCAGAAATTCCCGGCTGGAGACGCCCCCGGAGCGGCGCCCCCGCCCGACCCGCGCCGGCCCCCGGGCGCGCCCCGGCCCCGCGGTCCGGCCGGCCGCGCGCGGACAATGGGCCGCGCCGCTTACCTGTGGCCCCATGGGGCGCGCGCGCCGCGGCCGCCGGACCGGCCCGGGGGTGGCCGCGGCCCCGGCGAGCGCTGGACGGGCGGGTCCCGGCCGCCGCGGCTCAGTCCGAGCGTCCGTCCGTCCGCGCGTCCGTCCGTCAGGCCGGCGCGCCCCGCCCGCGCTGACCCCGCCCCGCGCGCGCGCCGCCGCTGATTGGCCGCCCGGCCGCGGCCACCGCCCGGCCCGCCCCTCCCGGCCCCGGGCGCGCGGCGCGGGGGTCGCGGCGCCTCGCCCGCCGTGGGCAGCCGGACAGCGGAAATGCGGGCCCGGCTCGCTGGGCATTGTGGGAAGCCCCCTCCCCGGCCCCGCGCGCCCGCGCCGCGCCCACCCGCGGGGCCCCCGCGCCGCGCGCCCGTCGGGGGTCCCGGGGCCGCGCCCGCCGCCCCCCGGCCCGGCAGGTGGGAGGAGGCCGGCCGCGCCGCGCCCCGGAGACCCCGCGGCCGCTCGGCCTGTCCCCTCCCCCCTCCGGGAGCAGCTGGCCGGGCCGGGGGCCGGGCGGCCCCTCGCCCTTCCCCGCGACCCCGCACCTGCCCGCCCGCGGCGGGGTGCGGGGAGGGGCGAGCGCTCGGGGCTGTCCCCCGGCTCGCGCAGCGCCGCCCCCGGGGCCGGGACCGGCCCCCACACCTGCGCCCGCCGGCCTGGACGGGCGCCCCCCACGCGCCGCCCCCGTCTCCGGGGCCCAGATTTGCTTTTCCTTTGGGCGGCGAAACCCAGTGGGGCGGCCGCGGTCTGAGGCTGGAGCTGACCCGCAGGTGGTCCCCGCCCTCCGGCGCCTTACTGGTCCCAGAGCCGAGACCCCCAGAGCAGGAGGCAGCAGCGGGACCCCGCGGTGGCGGCCTCCAGGGAGCCTCTGCCTCTTGGCTGCGGTGTCTCAGAGGTGCTCTTTGTCCTGGACACCCAGTGTCCAGGGAAACGCAGGGTCCTAGCTGGGTCAGTATGGACTGTGCCCTGCCCGTCAGTGTGGGACCCCAGGACCTGTGGCATTGGCTGTCAGCCGCCCCAGTGACAGGACCTCGCCCACCCACTGCCCATCTCCCACTGCCACCTCTGCCCACGTTTGCCCACTGCTCACCTCCCTCTACCCTCCTCTGCCCACTCCTGTCCACTGCCTACCTCCCACTACCCTCCAACACCCGGTCTGGAGGGAAGGGGCCAGGCCACTGTGTGCACTCTCTGGGGTCGGCCAGAGACCAGGCCCTGTCCCTGTCCCTGCCGCCCACCCTGCATCCCTGTGGTTCTCTTCACCGCGGTCTCCGCAGGCAGGGGACCTGCCTGTTTATGCTCTGCCGTCGCCATGGCAACTGCCCTGCAGCCCCTCCCTGCGAACTGCCCGCAACCTCCGCCTGTCCTCTCCAGGCCTTGGCTGGCAGCTCTGGGGAAGCCAGGCCGGGCGGGCATGGGGGGCCCGGCGTGCCCAGCCTGGCCCTGAGGTGGGGCTGCCGTGTCCCCTGGCCCCACCCTGATCACTGCCAGCTGGCCCTGTCCTGCCCGCCAGGCCTCCTGCGACCACCGTCCAGGGCCACCAGGGCCAGGGGCTACCTGCCAAGCACTGCCGCCCCACCCGCTCCCCTCCAGGCTGTGCCCCTGCCAAGCCCCAACTGCCGCTCCAGCTGCCGCCACCAACTGTCGCCCGGCTCATTCCAGGCCCCCCAACTGTCCTCCTGAAGGACCAGTGCCAGCAGCCACCCCCCCTTCCCGACCCTGCTGCCCCCCACCCCCGGCCAGCGCCTTCCTTCCTGAGCTCCCACCCGCTCTGCAGTCCAGAGCTCTCTGCACGCGTCACGCGGGACTTGCCCGTGGGTGAGGGGCTGGGCCCTGCCAGAGAGCAGGGGCAGAAAGTAGGGGTGCGGGGGAGGATGGAAGCAGGGTCCACCGTGCCATGGCCAGCCGCTGGAGCTTGTCCTCAGGGGTCTGGAAAGAGCCAGGACTGACGAGCCCTCCCCGGGGAGCCCTGTGCCCTCCTGGTAGTGCCATCCTCTGCCCACGCTCTCCCCTCCATCCTCTGCTCCTGCCCACTGTGGAGCATCCCCACATGCCCAGGTGCTGGCCAGGCTGTAATTCCATCTTGGCCTGCAGCAGGCAGCAGGGCCTGGGCCTCAGGCCCGAGAAGGACCACAGCTGCTTCCAGGCCCTGGCTCACATTGCAGCGATGGCACAGATAGAGCCTGGGAAAGGGACACCACTCCCGGCCATGTCCCCACAGAGGGGGTGCTCCTTGTCAACTCCCCCCAGAGAGATGTTCCCTGTCATGTCCCTAAGTGCTCCCTCTCAATCCCCACAGAGGAAGGTGCTCTCTTCCAGTTCTCCACAGAGGGAGAGGCTCTGTCAGGGCCCACAGAGATGCTGTCATGTTCCCAGATGCTCCCTACTAGATTCCCACAGAGGAAGGTGCTCCCCGTCATGCGCCAACAGGGAAATAGGTGCTCCCCATCATGCACTAACAGAGGGAGTGCTCCCTGTCATGCACCAGAGGAAGGTGCTCCCCATCATGGACCAACAAAGAAAAAGGTGCTCCCCATTATGTGCCAACAGAGAGGAAGATGCTCCCAGTCGTGCACCAACAGAGGGAGGTGCTCCCAGTCATGTGCCAACAGAGGAAGGTGCTCCTGGTCATGCACCAACTTAGAGAGGTGCTCCCCATCATGCGCCAACAGAGGGAGGTGCTCCCGGTCTTGTGCCAACAGAGAGATGTTCCCGTCACTCACCAACAGAGGGAGGTGCTCCCTGTCATGCACCAACAGAGGAAGGTGCTCCCCATCATGCACCAACAGAGGGAGGTGCTCCCCATCATGCACCAACAGAGGGAGGTGCTCCCCGTCATGCTCCAACAGAGGAAGGTGCTCCCCATCACGCACCAGAGAGGCTCCCGTCACTCACCAACAGAGGGAGGTGCTCCCAGTCATGAACCAACCGAGAGGTGCTCCCCATCACTCACCAACAGGGGGATTTGCTCCCGGTCACACACCAACAGGGGGAGGTGCTCCCGGTCACACACCAACAGAGAGGTGCTCCCTGTCACTCACCAACAGAGGGAGGTGCTCCCCATCATGCACCAACAGAGATGTCCCGTCACTCACCAACAGAGGGAGGTGCTCCCTGTCATGCTCCAACAGAGGAAGGTGCTCCCCATCACGCACCAAACAGAGAGAGGCTCCCGTCACTCACCAACAGAGGGAGGTGCTCCCAGTCATGAACCAACAGAGAGGTGCTCCCCATCACTCACCAACAGGGGGAGGTGCTCCCGGTCACACACCAACAGAGAGGTGCTCCCTGTCACTCACCAACAGAGCGAGGTGCTCCCCATTGTGTGCCACCAGAGAGGTGCTCCATCAGGTCCCCGGAGGAGGAACGGTCCCTCTCTAGTCACTACTCTGCTCCCTACCAGGTCCCCACTGAGGGAGGTGCTCGGTGTCAGGCCCACAGAGATAGGTGCCCCTGTTGTCCGCACAGATGGGTGGCTTCCTTTCACGCTCCAAAGAGGAGAGGGACGTGCTTCCAGTCAGGTCCCCACAGGAGGAGTGCTCCCACAGGGTGTCCATGGGGGCGCTGCCAGGTCCCCGCAAGAGGGAATTCTGGATGTCATGTCCCCCAGAGTCCCCCTGCCAGGGTCTCCACAGGTTTCTCTCTTTTGGGGTGCACACCTGGCTGTGCTCAGGGGTCACTCCTAGAGGCGCTCAGGGGACCTCGTGGTGCTGGGGATGGACCCGCGGCCCTACTGCCCGCAAGGCCAGCTCCTCCTCTGTGCTACTTCCCTGGGCCCTCCCTCTGCAGATCCCCACCACAGGGGCCTTCCTTCTGCCTGTGCTGCTTAGAGACCACCAGAGCCACAGCTGGGGCCACGGTCAGTCCGGTGCCCACCGTGGGCCCATTCAGGAGTCTGAAGGACACTGCTCAGCCAACTCTTGCTTCTCAACACAGGCCCCACGGGCCACCAGCATGCCCTGGGGAGGGCAGCCCAGTGCCAGCTCGTGGCAAGCCTGCCCCGCACTGGCCAGTGTGCCCCAACGCCCTGGCTCCCTGCTGCTGTCTGGTGCCCCTCCTGCCCCACTTTATTTACTACAAGCACCGGGGGTCTCCCTCTCCCTCTGTCTCTGTCTCTGTCTCTCACACACACACACTTACTCTGGGCCATGGCACACTTGATTTGTGGTGCTTGTGTGTGGGCTTGCTCAGGGTCACTCCTAAGGTCACTCGCAGGGCCTGTTGGGTGCAGAACCCTTTAGCTGAAAAGTTCACCCTCACCAACTGCCCCTAAAAACTGTGGGAGGTACCAAGTATCCCAGACACGGGCACCTGAGCACGGACACGCACCCGGGAGGGACAGCACCCGGAGCTGGGTGTGGGGCCCTGGGGCCGCTGGTGGGCTGCTGCCTGCAGGAGGGTGCTTTATTCGCCACCTGCCACCCCACCCTCTGTGCCCATCTTGCTCAGCCGACCCCTCTGTGCTGATGTCCACTCACCCGTGTCTCAGCCCTGTCTGCTCCTGCCCTTCCTTTGCTGAAGGCCTGTCCTTCAGTGTGGCCTCCACGCAGGACACTGCACTCTGACCCACCCCCTGCCCGCCACGGCCTCAGTGCCCTGCGTGGGCAAGAGCGGCCAGGCCAGACCACCTGTCCTCATGGGCCTGTCCCGTGGGTCTCAGCCGTGGGCTTGGCCAGGGGACTGTCCCTGTGGCTCTGTCCCGTGGCTCTGTCCTGTGGGCCTCTCCTCTGAGCCTCTTCCCCAGCTTGCCTGAGTTGTCCTGGTGTGTGTGCAGTGGGGGGCGGCCTCCTGTGTGCACGAGTGAGTCCCCCATGCCTGTGGGCCCTGGGCGGCCCTCGCCAAGCCTGTGGTGACAGCCCTGCATGAGCCCGGCCAAGGCGACTCCGGGCCCAAGGCACACCTGCACCCAGGGTGCTAGAGGTGGAGACGGATATCCTGGGGTGCTCGGAAGAGGTGAGGAATGGGCTGGGGGCTCCCGGCTTTGTGGGGCGAGTCTGGCCCCATCTCCCCGGCCTTCTTCCCGGATGGAAAGGTGAGCAAGCAGGTGGTCTGGTGAGCTGAGGGCATGTGTCCTGGAGGGGCTGGGAGGCCGGGGGACCACCCATGCACCCGGACGGCT